TTTTTTCTTAAATTAATCTGTACTCAAGTCACTTGCGAACCAGTAGATTTATTTCAGTGGAGACAGATAGCGTGGGCCGTTGCGTGCTTAGAGAAAACATTTTCCCGTTTACTTTCTAACGTTTTGAAGCCACGATAATCAATTCGTGCCCACAAAATTCGTTGACAAGTCGTCCTATAAAACTTTGCCATGAGAAGAACCATTGCTTGCACCTACAAAAATACCAAAATCAGGAATAGGCAGATGATTTTGGAATAAATATTTGCAAAAATGCAGCTATTTTTCAAGATATGCGTATTTGCTGTACGCAACACTCTAGAACGCACTCTATGAAAGAAAGCTGACAGACTGTCTTAGGGTACATACTTTGTAAGTGAATGACTTGTTTTTCAATAAAATGACATAATGCCGTTTTCTTGGAATCAGTGATGTGTCTAGACAATTTTGTTGGGGGGGGGGGACGTTCAGAAAAAAGTGACCAACTTTACTTGTTTGACCGATCATTTCTCCATAGAAAAGCATTAACAATGAAATAAATGATCACATACACACTTAATGATAACAAGTAAGAGCAAATGATTGCATGAAAGTATAAGGCGATTATGTTTGCGAAAACTAATATTCCGGGAGTTCGCGTTTTTGGGTGAATCCAAGAACATCTTTTTGCGAATTGCCAATTTTAGGATTATCTGCAAAACTATAGCTTAGCTTCTGAACCATAACTCCTTTTGAGCTCCTCATAAAAATAATTTCAGCTTATAAAGTTTTCTCTAATCTATAGATTTTCATAAGAATTGAAGGGCAAATATAGCTGGAAGGCCGCCGAGAGGTTTCAGAGGCTCTGGGGCAAAATAGAAAGACAATACCCCTGCGAGCGGAGCAAGCAGAGAACTATCTTTTCTACCACACCCTTCAGATTAGCTTAAAATGCATCTCAGAAAACTTCTTGCAGTTATTTCTTGCAGTCATTTCTTATTTTAGCTTATTTTAGATTTTAGCTTGCTCCTTATAGCAAGTTATTTTCAATACACTCTTTTTTTGTACGAACCAGTGAATTCGAGTTCAGAATGACTGTTTTTTTTTTAAATCTGAGGGTTGATTGTTCTTAATTTGTTCTTAAATTAATTGACAGTGCGATTGCTAGCGTTTTCGCTCAAAGTAGGTGTTCAGACCTTATTTGCCAACGAAGTGAGTGAGACAACCTTCATTTACCCACAGGTTTAAATATTCACCGAAAAAGAATCCACATATGGCTAAAAGTCCTCGTTTTCTAGATAAAACGTTGTTCAAAATTGCATTTTACAGTACCTCAGCCTCAGCTGGTTCTTAATTTGTTTTCAACTTTTGACCAATTTGAGGCTCGTGTTCTTATAAATATGTTCTTATAAAAAAAGAGTGTATTACAAAAACGAAAGTTGACCATGACCAACCATGACCAATAAAATGGATTAATTGTGGATTGAAATTTGGTCAAACTTTCTAATTGATGCTAAGGTTCTCGCTGCATGACCAACTTTATTGAAGTCTGTAGACATTCCCCTCACGCCCTCCCCCAGTCGGCTCCATACAACCAACCATAACCAACGTGAGCAGATTCAATCAGGGCAAAAACGTTTCATCAATCTCTGGTAAACGACCGAATTTGAAAAATGGGGACGACAAAGCTTTATATATACTACTTTGCTATACATAATTGCAAGAAGCACTTCAATAATGACAATTTTCGCGTTCAGCGTTAACTTTTTGTGGCGCCTGTTTTTCCCTACAGCTTTGGAAAGGGGGTGCGAGCGTTACCGTTGTGGCTGGTTCGGTGTTTTTTTGTCTTCAGATTTCTATTGTCTTGGACGCTATACCATTGGCTGGTTGAAAATGTAAACAAACAGTCTGATTGGCTCATGGTAAACAGAGTGTCATGGTCAACCGTATCCCAGGCTTATCAGATACATAGATACAAAAAACACAAGCTTTCAAATATCCAAACAATTATACCAGTCCTCAATGTTTTAGAAACCAGAATAGATGTGGTCTAGATTGATGTTGTCGTTAAAAGTTTGGTACACTTAGCTAGCTAAAATACACTTAACTGCAAAGAAAACCAATATTGGTCGACAGTTTGACTGTCAGCCTTTCCTTCCTCACTTGAAAATTGGGACAAATCTTCCTACTTTCAACCTGCATAGACCTGCATAAAAGATCCACCAAATTTGAAAGCCTTTAGGCCTTCGCTAAAATTTCATGATTTTGATTACCTAAATAAGAACACAACAACTGACACTAAAAAGATTATGTCCTTACATGCAAGATCGTAAAATTTGAATCTGAATACTTTAGCAAGAAAGCTGGAACCTTTTTTCAAGATAAAATCACTCTTTAATTAAGGAACCTACCTCAAGGCCTAGTTCCAAAAGTTCCTAATTCATAGACCTCAAATCATCAAATTGTAGTACCAAAAGTTCCTTTAATAGTTCCTTAATTTGTTTTGACTAAGTAAGCCGTTACAAATAATAGAAAGAGGGGCGAGACAGCATAGGCGGAAACTACTCAATGAAGCACTTGACACATGAATAACACACAATCTATGCGAGTATTGGCTGCAAATGAATGGAACCAGTTTTTTAGTTCTTGATGCTTGCAGTTATAAAAGTTTTTATAATCGAAAAGTTTCTTAGGTATTTCGTTTTAGTAGTATAAGTTCTTTAAATATATCGGCCTTCTACATGAAGGTTCCTTATTAAGTGGTTCTTTATAAATAAGCGTGCATTATTTCGATGCTTTAACGATGGTATCTTCAGTTATTTCCAATTATCAACTTGTCTTCTTATAAGTTCATACTGACATAAATCTTTCATTGTTTTCTTTTTACCAGAAAAGTACTTGGTTGAGAAATTGTTTGTCAGAAGTAACCACAATATTTAGGTAAATGTTGATTTTAATTTCAGAAATAAAATTCATACTTATTCTCATGGACGATAGTTAAAAATACAACTTGAATTAACATTGATCAGGATAAGGGGAGACCTCAGCCAAATCTTGAATATATATTGGTTTGGTAAATGGTGTCTGTAATAAACCAGCCCACCAACTTCTTTTAGTAAAATTTTTAAATTGGATGACAACACCAAAACTTTCAACTATTTTTGTTTCGTAAAATATTTTTCCCACTGCTAAACTGGATTTGGTCGTGCATGAGAACTCATTGGCTTACTCAGGTGAATAGGAACCACTGTCCTAATTATTCGAAAAAAACGAGATGTTCTGACGTTTTATACTCTGTAGAGTGTCAAACGAAAAGCTTCAGTATTCTCAAATGTTAGCTTTTTCAAAGCCATTTTTAGTAGTCTTATCTTGTGAACCGAGGCTAGCCAACTTCAAACTATCAATATAATAGAGAGGTTTGTAATTGTAGTTTAATTGAATTGAAAAGTTTTTATTCTGTAAAACTGTATACCTGTTAAGCCTTGTAAAGTTATACCTTTGGTAACAGTTTGTTTAAGATAAAGTTATTCTTTCTTTAAGGTTTTGCATGACCCCATTCCAATTAGAAGCCGTTTTAATAAGGTTTAGGTACATGTTTGTTTCAGATGTTTTTATTCTGTAAAACTTTGCACGGTAGAGCGTGAATTTGAAATACAATTCGTCATTTCGAAAAACTTTTATTTCTTTTTGGAGGTTTTATAAAGAATGAACTTTACAGCATGAATTGTTTAAGGGGGGCACAAAACTTTGCTTATGGACCCCCAGTACTTGGTTACGCCACAGAACAGCACAGAACCAAAAAACAAATTAAGAAAATCGCAGTACCGAGACTTGAGAACCTATTCTTTTAATCATAATTTGTCACACGAAAACTCTATCTGATACCTTATTTAACTAAAAGAATAATTGAAATACAAAATTATATTTTAAAGAAAAAAAAAACAATATTAAATGATCTCAATTTGCCAATCTTTCTAATGATCGTGCTTCGGGAAGGAGGCTAATTCTGTAGAAATTCCTTCAGTCTCCTTTGGCAATGGGATTCACTCCATGTCTTTGCTACAGAATGGGAACAATTTCTTTTAAAGAACTTTAGCTTTAACTTAGGGTTGTCTAGATCTAATTAATTTCTTGATGTGTAATGAGACAATTGAGATCTGGTGAAAAGCCTCCCCTTTAGATTATCTTGAGAGAGACAGTTTATTATCATTTAGATCATTACTACCCTGTCGAATTTCACTACGTTCGAGACTGAAAGCTAATTAAAACTCAACCTATCCTTTAATCTAAATCTTTTATCAGAGTTTTTGTTATAGTGTGTAGACGTTGAAGATGCTGAAGCTCAGTGTTTGATAGATTCCCCTATCAAAAAATCTCAGATGACTCTCAAACAGTACATTGTGTTCCTGATAAAATTTAGATAATGGTAGTCTATTCTAAAGCTACTGCAGAGACGCGAGGGCAGTCCTAACTTATACTGTCAGTCGCGTACATGTTGAGGTGCATTTCTTTAAGGAACTTATTGATGTCACCATCATACAGAATGAACAGGAGGCCCCAGCCCTGCGGAATACCACAGTGACTGGATTTGTGGCCGTTCATTTGACAGCATTGCTTTCTGTTGGAGGACGTGAACCAACAAAGATGTGTCCCGGATATCTCGTATTTGGTTAATTGCAAGATGAGAATTCCGTGGTATACCGTATCAAATTTCTTCTTGAGATCCTAAAAATACACTTTGTGTCTATTTTCCGTTTCTTTATTGGAAAACCATGAAGCTCTTATACTTGATTACTCGTCAGGGTACCGTGCTTCTTTATAAAGATGCGTGTTTGCATTCAGTACTTTGATTTTTCATTTATGTAGTTTGAGAATTGATCACTACAAATGTTTTTCTTGCAACCTCGAGAATATACTCTTTTCAAATGGAGAGTTGAATATTGCAGCTAGCATTAAAATTCCTGCTGTTGAACATGAAAGTTAATAAGATAATATCGAGATACAGAAGACAAAGAGACAATATGTTGATTATCAATATTACTCGAATAAAAACTTCAGCAACCAACAGTTACCAGCACTGCATACTGAGTGTCAAAGCTTTTGTTACACATGCATCAAGATAATAATACAATAACTGCTGCTAAATAGCCCTAATATGTAGGAAGAATAGCTAGTGGCCTTTGTAGAAATAAAGACAGACTGTAGCTTATTTCAAATTAAATCCTGTCCTGACATAACTGTTCTTAGGGAAAAGTCCAAAGGTAAAATCTTAGTCACTACTACACTAGGTCATGCAAAACATGGTGATATTCTCAAAAATACTCTTCTGAAAACGTGCCTACAAAAGAACGTGGCTTTCATGGACTTTACTGCTATCTGGCAGTTTCAAAGGCAGCAAGGTAGCAAGTGTGGGAACAGGACTGTCAGGAAAAAGGCAAGGGGTTATAGTTATCCAGCTAGATGAGAAATGTTTACGTATATAAGGATAAATATGTCCCAAAATTCAACAACAACAGGTCAAAGCAAAGTACTGTCTAAATATGCATTGCCATGGGTGATAAAGATGGAACTTGTTGACCTGGAGAGTCTGGGTTCTGCTTTGCCAACATCTTCTTCAGCTCTTCTTCCTTTTTGGCTTGCTCTCTTAGGTGAATCTTCATGTGTCTACGCCTTTCATCTGAGCGAGCAAAACGTCTTCCACAAACATCACAAGCAAATGGCTTCTCCCCAGTGTGTGTTCTGATATGTGTTGTTAAATGATCAGACCTTGAGAAATTCCTCATGCAGATGCGGCACTGGAATGGTTTCTGTCCAGTGTGTGTGCGCATATGTCTTGTGAGTTCATCTGATCTTGAGAATCGTCTGGGACAGTTTTCAACAAGACAGGCATATGGTCTTTCATTTGGGGGCACCTTGCATTTGTTGTTACTCTGCATTGGATTTGTTCGCTTTTCTTTGAGTATACTTGATCCAGCCTTGAGAACACTCTGCTTTGGTGTCAATGAAGGATAGAATTCTGACAAAGACAGACATGTTTTGGGTCCACTTTGTGGCTCAAAAGCAGAGTTCTCTGAAACACCTGGCCATTTCATATTCAATGCTGTTGGGAATTTGTATCCATTTACAGGGTAGAAATTCTGCTGCTGTTTCTGCTGTATGAGTTGTTGCTGTACTTGGTACATCTTTTCCACAATATGTTGCTGATGGTACTTCTGAATTCCAAGCAAAAGTTGGGCTTGTGCCTCTTTGGCATTCACATCACAAGAGGTGTTTGTGTTTTGGATGCACCAAGAATCTTGAGGTTGACTAGTTGCTGGACTTGGAATAAGCTGGCGTTCTTGGAGCCACCAGTTTTCTGGGGATGTTGCAGATTGTTGGGAATAGGGATTTGGTGAGGAAGGCTGAGGACTACCAGATGACTGAGGACTGTAAGTTGGCTGTGGACTATATACAGGCTGTGGGCTATATTCTTGGTAGCAAGAGGATGGACTTTCAGTCTGTGCTCTCTGCAAAGAGGCTTTGAGAGACTGGATATCTGGCTTCATGTCACACCCATAATCATCTCCTAAAAGCAAGTAAAACAAACAAAATGAGTTTTGGGCCAATTAATGTCAATTCAACAAGCAAAACAGCCTATTCACATCCACTACATAAGAACTATAAACTAATTTTACGTTTTATAGTCTCTTACCATATCAAAAACCCATTCTCCAGATAATAGAACCGTTTAAAGTTCAAGGGATATGAAGTTTTAGGGATAATGATCTTATTGCAGCCGCCATTTTGAACTTTCTCTAGAGTGTACAGTAGAAAGAAAATATTTCTGGATTCTTGATTTTGAGTGTTGAGTCCTTGAAACCTTACCCTTTTTTAAGTATGCAAATGTTGATTCGCAATTAAATTCACCATAAGTTTACAACCGAACCCCACAGAATCATTTTTAATCCCTATTCATTGATTAGAGTTTCCGATTGCATTTTTCTACGTTTACTTCAGTTTCAATAAAAAACTGCACAGTACCATTTCAAACACAAGTTTTGACTTGCTTAGTAAACATAATTTTCAAACGAAAAAGTATCCAAGAGATAAATGTGGCGAGATGACTGCTTACCCGGCTGAGCACTTTCAGCCAAAGCCCCTTTAAAAGCCCTTCCTTTAGTAATTCATTTGCACACAATAAATTTTATATTTTTTTACCAATAAACAATTAGGGCAGGGGCTTAGTGCGAATGAGTTAAATACTGCAGGCTTATCATTGTTTATAACTAGCAGTGCCATAACTCAACATGTTTTCTTTTTCCTTTTTTATTACGTAATCATAAAGTTATGACTTTGTTCACGGTCTCTGTTCTCAATTCAATAAGTTTTCTCTTTTCGCGAACAAAGGTACTTTTGAGGAAACGGATCATTAACTCAAACATTTCATGGTTGACCGACTTTAACAAACACCATCCTGTCTACATTGAATGGCGGAAGAGAAAAGCCAAAGGATGACAAGGCTACCATCAAAGACCTGTGACTTAAAAACACTCTGTGTGCGTGTTTGCGTTTGTTTCCGATCGCTTAGAATTCCCTACATGTTCAAAACATATTTTGAAAGGTTTTACTGACAGTAAACACGGATTTAACTATCTTTGCTGAATTCGTACAAGCGAATTCACGCAAGATACTGATCAAGGGACGGCCTAAAGGTTCATGTAGTAGGAGAGGAAGTTTCTTGCGTATAATGAGATATCCAAAAAGAAAAATACCCGTAATTGCTTAGCACATGAAGAATCTTAAAAACCTTCAGATGACATTCATTAAATGTGCTTTGTTAAAAACAGTTAGAAACTGAGACAAGAAACGCCAACTGACGAGTCAGCGACGGAAGCCGCCTTGTTGCCTACAAGTCAACATCATGATACTTTGGACTTACCGAAGGCGCTTAGATCGTCTGGAAACTGCATAGCATCGCCATAACCACTAACATCTTCGACATTTGGAACTGTCTGAGACATGCTGTTGAGGTCTTCGCATGGTGATCGGCTTTGATATGAAACAATGTTTCCAATTTGAGAGGATACTGCGTCATAGTTGCTAAAAAAGTTCTCCGCACTTGCAGCCTGAAGTAAACTGTTGATGCAGTCCATAATGAATTTATTCGAAGTAGTAGCTTTGATAAAAATTCTCGATATTTTAAAAGAAGAACAGAGTATTTGTAGACCCTAGGCTATTGACCAGCAATACCTAATTTCGGGTTTTCTCTTTCGGTGTCGCCCGCGACCCGGTTTACTTTCGTTACGTTCTGAAATGAGCGGCTGTCAGACTGAGGAAAATGCGTAGGGCGTCATTCTTTGTACCTTGCTTTCGCCATGGTCAGTAATCAGGTTCCTGTTCTACCAAATATAGCTTGCATATTGTTCCACTCGTCCGGGGATAGCCAATAAACTACGCAGCCTAAGGAAAGCTGTCAATCATTTTCATTGTGGCTGTTGTTGGAGTTGCATATACTTCCGCTATTGAAAATTCAAGAGTAAAGCCATTTATTATCTGTCTTATCCAGCAAATTCTTTTGCAATGATGTATTACAGTTCTAAGATTGGAGCTGTTCCTTTCATTCATACGTGGATACTTGAACTAGAAAAACTCTCCACTAGGAAGGCACTCAATATGTTTTTCAGGGAAGCGGGAATTGTCATTTTTTGGTATCGGGAATTGGCAAATTTTTTGTGAGGGGATTCGGGAATCGATAAAACCGGGATTTGTATTTGTATTTATATTTGGGAATTGGTGATCGAGAATCGGGCTAAAAGCGTAACAGGCATATGGGAATCAGGACTCAGGAGACTATTGGGTACTCTCCACTATGGTATGCGAGGAGAAGCGCAAACAGTGAATTGTTTTCTTCTATTTAATTAAATCAAAGAAGTAAATGGTTGTCAGATAACCTCTATCTGTAAATTTCGGCAAGATGATTTTCTCCGCCTGAAAATAGGGCGGGTTGCACTGCTCGGCGCTGCTTCAAAGAATGCCAACCAAACTGACTTACAATGTAAAAAGAAGACCTTAGAGAGTCATGAAAATATTGAGGTTCAAAACTTGTTATTACAAACCAATTTTTAATGTTGCTTCTACGACCACGAGAAAATACAGCACTAGTATTAATTTTTAACTGAAAAGCACATTTGGGCCATGGGTGGCTCACGATTATTCCTTGTGTCTAAATAAGAGAATATAAAATTGAATAGATGATTCTTGTCAGAATCACGTAAAAATTATGCGGACAGATGCATTTTATTGTATTTTTTCAAAACGACCTAGATATTTTAAGCCCTCTTTCTGGCTCTGAATCCAGTCCTCTCATTTCCCTTGTAGCTTTAGAAAGCGAAAAGGATCGGTGATTCTTAGGCTTAAAAATGCTTGTGCGGTGCTGCAAACTCAGAAACCTACAAACAACAAACTTTTCAGGCAAGTTTTGTTGACCAATATACAATCTCATTGATTCTCCGAAGTGGGAATCTCAATCTTAGAGATGACCACTTCGGATATTATATAGTGCGCATGCTCTAAAGAAGTAAAACTTGTGGTGCCATATTTCTAGAAAATTCCTTCAGACTTTGATGAATAATATCCCCAACAATTTTATTGTTTTCCTAATCCTACTACCTCTAGCGTAGAAAACATTTCACCAACAAATACCTATAACCAGGGCCGCGGAGAGGATTTCTGGGCCCCGGGTCAAGACGAAAGAAAAAAGCAAGGCACACCGGAAGCGACCCTTTCATAGGGGTCCGGGGGAAATCATCAAGTAAACAGAATGCAACCTTACAATGTCGATAAAAAACTAGCTGATTCGATCTTGGAAGAAGCTCGTTTAGACGAGTGGGTCCAAAAAATTGAAGACCAAGGGAAGTCAGTCAAGTACATCTCTATCTTGAAGTGAAAGGCCAGGTAAAGGCCTTTAGTAAAAGTCAAGATAATGTTGGCATTGTTATTATTGATAGCATTGCAGCAAATATAATTAGGCGATTCGCGTCCATTGGCGAGATATGGTAGGGGTTAAGTATTCTTTGAGTATACACAAAGTTGAAGGAAGATGACCTAGCAAAAAAGAGCAAAATTCTGCACAGCAAAAAGGATCACATATCTCTTAAAATCAGCGGGTAGTCACTTTTTCTAAGGAGCATCAACCATTGCATCCTGTTGAGCAAGCTTAAGCATTTGAATTTGCAACCAGTGGCGTCGCTACGGAGTGGACTGGGGTGGACATGTCCACTCCAGTTTTCCCAGAAGTCGATTTTCTAATTTCTCGAAATCATTTGAAAACCTTTGTGAAGGAGGAGAGGGGGGGTTGAGGTTTGGTAGGTGGGCTGATCAGATCGATTTTGACTTACGGACTTGCAAAAAAAGCTGCTTGAGAAAGTTGCTTGCTCAAAGATAGAAAAAAGATAAATTTCTGTATTATATTGTAAAATAGATTACAAATACTAAGAAAGACCTTTCCAAGGGTCTGAAGGGCCTGGCCGAAAAAAATTGTTTTCGTCCACCTCTCTTTTTTGAGCGGGCGATGCCACTGTTTACAACGCTCATTTCCCAATGTTTTCATTGCATAAAGGTTGCTTCTGACTTTGCCTGCTAGTGTTGCATTACCCTGGGTACCAGACTCACTATATATAAAATAAAATAAATGTTATTATTTTATATAATGAGTCTGGTACCCAGGGTAGTGTTGCATCAGCTGAAATATCGTTCAAATTGTCCAAAAAAACTGAAATTTTCGAAAAATTTTATATAGCTCCATAATTGACCCTTTTACAGGTACAAATACTTGGAAACTGTTTTATTAACTAACTAGGAAATTACCTAAAGCTACTAGCTCTGTTTGACAAACATTATGGGGTTTTAATCATGTTGCTGCTTCTACCTTATTTCATTTAAAGGGTTTTTTCTATTATTTTGTCTATTATTGACAGTTTTGGATCATGGAGGTGCTGAATTGCTAATTATTAATTGTTTATTAACTGTTTATCAACGCTTACAAAGTTATTATCTATGGGCCCCTAAAGTCATGGACCCCCAGGTCAGTGACCCCCTGACCCCCCTCTCCTCAGCACTGCCTGTAAGCATTTCAAGTCATGTTTAATGCATGTAGATGGCAAGGCTTAACTTAGAATAGAGCAAAGTTGATCGGATACGGACAATAAAATTCGAGGAAATCTTTATGTGCATCAGGAAAATTGATTCTTGATAAAATTACAGCTTGAAGCAACTAGTTATTTAGAGCCTTAGTCGAAGAATGCTCATTGGGGGAATTAGTAGTGGGCAGTTGGGTATCAGTTTTATGTATAAAAAACAACAGGGCAGGGAAAAATGTATCCTGTAACAACATTGAAGAAAGTTCTTAAATCATATTAAACACAATGAATAATTGGTTACATGTAGCTTTTAAGTTAGCAGAATGTTACATCTTGGTTGCAGTATATATTATAATTATTCTAAAAACTTCTCGTTGTCTTCTTATTTCCTAATTCGAGATAGCTCTTTCAAAAGCGCAACAAATATTTATCCAGAGACTGTCTGCTCTTTTGAACCCTTTACTGCCCTGAAAGTGATTGTTTCCCAGGTATTGTTCGGAAGACGAAACTATCAGGCCTTTGTTTCGAAACAACACCGTCTTAAACAAATCAGTGACCCCGAAACGGGGACTAGTGCATGTCTGGAAGACGGGCATGATTCATCTCCCGAACGAGGTATTTAAGCAATGTTAGGACAATGTTTGCGAATGTGGATACCCTGAGACATCACCCTAAAATGGTAGGAGGGAGGATAAAAAGCATGAAGAAAAGGATATAACAAAATGTTTGATTCACATTCCCACAATAACCATTTTAATAGTTCTAATCAAAGCTATCAAGTTCAGGCCAGGGTATGAAAATTTGGGAAAAATACTCTTGGGCTTTTTTGAATCCCTAAAATACCCTTTTCAGCATTATCTTCTTACTCCATCCGGATAATTCTCTTACCTAAGTATGAGTGTAAATAGAATACTTTAGCAGAACAGTCAGGCAATAAACTCCGATCCAAAATCCAGAAAAGTTTTTGACCTTCCTCCTGTCAAATTTCTCCCTTTCAAGACCTTCCTCCTGCTTTTCAAGCAATCACCTTGGACAGGTTGTGGCCAGGGAGTGGCTAGAACATAAGGGATGACAGACACAATTAATCAAGACAAAGTTGTATTTGGGTTGATGGTAATTATCGCATACGATAAAACTTTGCTAGAATAACAATCACATTGCGGCTCAAGAATAATTTTTATTTTTAAATGTTTATTTATTTTTAATACAATTGATGAAAATATGATACAATATGATTTGAAACTTTCGACACCATGGAATGGAACACGGACAATATTCTCTTTTCAGATGTATCTACTTGCCGTAAAAAAGCATACCCTAAAAATTGTCTTTTCGTGCCACCAATCGACTGTGCGACGGATTCAACGTGTGTTTTAAAAGTGCAACAAAGAAACAAGTGCGAAATAAACCGTCTCAATTGCTGTTTAAAGGGCCTCTCCAGCCAAAAAAAAAATTTTGTTTATTGACTAAAAAGTTAGCATCTGGTGCGTGTATTATGGCAAAGTCGTTGTTTTTGCAAAATTCCAATTAGTTTAGAAGTTATAAGGCTTTAAAGTTGCACCTTTCCGAGAAAAAAATGACAAAAGCCGAATTAGTTTTGTGACATTCTGACGTCACAATGTGCGGCCCTCGTTCGCCATGAATTTCGTATATCTTCCACCGAATCGTGAAGGAGTCATGGTCACGCGTTGATAACGGCATCTAAATCTAGAGCAGGAACTTTTTAGGATCGAAAAATATTAAATGTTTACAATCATTCTAAAGGCCGATTTCCACTGGGCGAATTCTTTCGCGCGAATCGAATAAATTTTCGTAGCGATAGAGTAGGACCGTGATCTACTTACTGCGAATCGAATTTTTTCGCTGCGAAATCTGAGAACATGACACCACGCATGCTCACATTGGCAAAAATTCGATTCGCGCGAAAGAATTCGCCTAGTGGAAATCAGCCTTAAGTCTGCGGGTCGGAATGTGTCCATGCTGTGTCACGACTTTGTTTTGATCACCTGTGTAGGCCCACAAAGCTACGGCTTCCTGTTCCAGCTCTTCCCTCGCGTATAATTAATCAAAATTGACACTTCAGTTGTTCTCCAGAAACGATGAACAACTAAAGGCTTCAGAATTGACATCTGACATGCTCAAACTAAAATCCGGTGGAACAGAACTGAGAGTACCATTACTTGCCGTGTTCAATTTGCGAAT